ACATATATATACACACACACACATATATATACACACACACACACACACACATACATACACACACACACACACATACACAAGTAATAATATATATAAAAACTTACCGACCCCAAACCTTTGAACTGTAGTGTATATATAAACTGCCTCTTTGTCTAATAAATATATTTAAATGTATTATGTTTGTATATAATATATTTAAATTGTGATTGTTGTAAAATGAATATATAACAGTTTCATCATTTGCCCAGGGTGCTTGGATATTAGATTACCATGTTTCCCTTTTTTAAAGCAGGTGAGCAGACAGTACTTCTTCCTGTCTTAACTGTCATTGTCAATGTGACTATTATTTATTTTTTAATGAACATCTTACTTCCCCCGCCTATATCTTATTGCACTTTCTGAGAAGCAGGAAGAACATGAGCTTGGTAACCACAAACAACAGTCAGTGTGAAAGCGAGAGGATTCACTTCACAACTGTAGAGCTGCACGCCATGACTCTGGACAGCTCTCTGCTGCTGCTAATGGAGCTCTACACAGAAGCACTGGACTATCTGAAGGCCTATGGCATCTCGCCCGGTGAGACCATTCAACCCAAATTCACATTTCCTTAAAATATTTGTCTGGGTTGTTTACTTCAACATAGTAATTCATTTAAAAACTAATAACCAGCAATTAGTTTTGAACTGCCATTGGTCATCTAATACTCTCTTATGTAGCGCTATATATTGTGTTATGTTTTTTTGACAGTGACTGAAGATGAGATTATGGTTTCTGACTTACTACAGGATGTGTTCGCTGAGGAGACAGAGTGGGTTTCTCACAGCTCTTTGCAAACTGAGCCATGTTTGCCATCCACTCCAGTAAGACTGCAGTGCACAGAATGTTTACATAAAATGAATATTTAATACAAATCTGATCTGAATGATCTATCAGTGAGTTCTTGCCTGTATGCTGTTATTGTTACTGTCGCTGGGGTATATCAGCATTATAAGATTAATAAATAATTGTTAATATGTGTATAATTGTTAATATGTTATCTCCTAGTTAGTTGCTATTATTTGTGTGGTGTGAATCTTCAGCGTGGTCCCCATTCAGTTATATTCAGACAATGTTGTAATGTTTTTCCAGACAACCGAGAGCCCAGATGACCTGCTTCAGAAGAGAACAGTGGTTCTGAAAGGGGTTCTGATCAGTGAGGAGATCTACCTGACAGAGCTTGAGACGCTTCTCACGGTAATACGACTCTCAAACAGGACTTTCTTAGCGGACATTTATTAATATTATTTCCTGACCTAAGCACTTCTTCAACACGGTATCAGTAGGCTCTTGCTTTACAGACTTTCTAAATTGCGAGTTATGAAGTAAAAACCACTGTGGTTAAACAAAAGATATCAGAGAAAGATAAATGCTATGACTGAGCCTGCATATAAACTGCTTCCTTTATTAAAAACGAAAAGCTTCACTATGATGCCATTTATGCCGTTGGTTGCAATTTAATACTTTGTTTGCAAACACCTGTTTTTCTGGTCCATACCTAATTAGGGTTTCTTCTCAAGCTCTAAACATCCTTCAGCACTTCTTTTTTTTTATGATTCTCAACCAGTGACACATTATTTAAATCGAAACTTCTTCGCATCTGCCACTTCCTGTAGGTCAACTTCTGTTTCTCTTAGTGAAGTATTGCTTCCCTTTCTAGTCAGACCATTAGTGGTTATCATTAAACTAGAGAGTTTCCAAAAAGTCCAGAATGACATGCAACATAATGTTGAAGTACAGAATGCATGAAAAGTGTCATGTTTCTCAACCACTTCCTCACAGGAATTGTGTCCGGCATTTACCCATGAAGATGCTTTGTGTTCATTCTGTGATGTATTTATAAAGTGTTTTTCAGTTACATCAGCTATTTTCAGCCTGAGTTTCATTTCAGTTCCCAGTCTTACTTTCATTCTTTGACATTTGTTCATTTTCTCTCTATAATGTATCCTTCTCTGCAGCCTATGAAAGCTTTGAGGGCAGCAGCGGGAACCTCTCAACCTGTGTTGTCCACTGAGCAGGTTCAGACTGTGTTTTATCAAATCCCTGAGCTCAGAGATCTGCACAAGGACTTTTACACAAACCTTCGGGCCAAACTGCAACCTGATGAAGTGATGGACCCAGGGTCACAACAAGGCCCGGAGAGGGAGGAGGCCCCAGTGATGCAGCTTTGCCACAGGGAGCATCATTTTTGTGTGGGAGACCTGTTTCATAAGTTTGTGAGTTGATTTATATGCAAACATGTGGCTGGTAATACCATAAAACTGATCATCAGCAGACAGCAGTGATGATAATGAAATATGGCTTATTCCTTCTTGACCTAATATTTGTTGTAATATGAAGCAATTGACACAATGTTGCATCAGTTCATTGAAATGTTCACAAAAAAATTCAATATAGCACATATATATTAATTTGTTAGTATATTTTATAATAGCTTGATGTCATTTTGCAGGTCAACCAGTTAGGAGTGTATCGGGGCTTCATTGACAACTATGAGAGTGCAGTGGAGATCGTGCAGAAGTGTATGCAGTCAGACCAGCGTTTCAGGACGCTTGCAGAGGTCTTATATTCTTCCCTTTTTGTTATCTTTATTAGGGGGAAACAACACAAAAACCTTTGTCTCTTGTTATCTTTATAGAGTATGATGTCCTCCAAAGGGTCAGACAATGTCAAAACTAAGTACACCTTTGAAGGTAAACAATTCCTTTTTTGCTTCCCTGTATGGTTTTGAATTAATTTTTAAACACTGGGAACATTCAATAATTCATACATTGGACTCCACAGCTCTCCTGTATAAGCCGTTAGACAGAGTGATGAAAACCACACTTGTGTTGCACGTGAGATTCTGTTTAAGATCACATCTTACATTTATTTATAAATATTCTATGGATTTATTGACATTCTTCTCTGTCCTCCTCAGGATTTGTGGAAGCACACGCCCCCCGATCACCCCGACAGCATCACGCTGCAGGAAGCGCTTCGTCTCTCCAGCAGCTTTCTCTCTGGGGTCAATGAACGGTCGCAGTGCAAACGTTCTGTCAAGCTCAGCAGAGGAGAGGTACTCCCCACCTCACGTGACATGGTTCCTCACATGCAGATTTTTGTTCAACTTTATTATTAAACTGTAATATTATGTTCCTCATAATAATATATACATGTGTGCACGTCCACAGAGACGTCAGCTGATGCGAGATGGGTTTGTGGTAGACGTGTGTGAGAACGGGCACAACCTGAGACACCTCTTCCTGTACACAGACATGCTGCTATGTGCCAGACTGACAAGTGCAGGGTGAGTCTCCACCAATCACAGGTCTCTATGTTTCCTTCCCAGCGGAGGTCCGGACAATACTTTCTTTGGGATAGTTATACATTTCCATCTGGGCAGCAGAAGTACTTTGTAAAAGAAAAAAACCGTAACAAAATAAAACAAAAAGAAAAAGGCAAAGACAAAATAATCATCGCAGATGAAAATATTGGGCCTAAGCAGTAATTTTTCTACAAAGAAATTAATGCTAAATGTAGATGGAAAAAAATGTCTTGTCACAAACCTGGTTTATTTGAACGGTTGGAGTTGTATGACAGTTTAAAATAATTATATTTGCTGCATTCTTGTTTTTTTCAGATGATGTATAAATCTCAAAAATTGACCCTTATGACTGGTTTTGTGGTCCAGGGTCACATTTGGCTCTAGATAAAATTATTAAAGGATATAGCGGTCCAGTTGGAGGTCTGCTATTTGAGGTCCCCTGTTATATAATTTATATACTTTTAGAAAAAAAAAGTAAAAAGCTGTCACTGAGGCAAAAAAAGCTAAAAGGTACATCTTTGTATCTTATTTACCAGTAAATGGTATATAATAGTATATAGTACCTAGTGAATATAATAGTACCTTTTGAAGGGGTACGGCCACAGTTTTATACCTTTTTTCTGACAGTATACATTATAATTTGTATTTTATTTATTTATTGAACATATTAGCATGATATAGATGTGTATGTACTGTATGGGCTTATATGTGTTTTCATATAAAGGAGGCAGCCACAGTACAGGTTTTGCTGGTACTTGCCATTGGTTGGCCTGAAGCTGCACTGGGCAGCTGAACATCTGCCCTCATCAGAATACCAAGTGAAAATCAGTAAAACCAGAGCCAAAATGTACCAGCTCAAACAAGCACTCCAGCAACACACGGTAAGGCAATTTACATGTGACTGAGTGAGATTTTCGGTGCTTAGTATTTCTGACAGTAGCCTAGATTGTCATGTCCTCGGTTTGATCACCCTGTCCTTCGGTTGTCGTGTTTTGTATCTGTCTGCATGTTGTGAGCACATGGTGTTTTGTTTTGATCGTTCGCCTTGTACTCCTCTGTGGCGTTCCTCCCTCCCTCTAGTTACCACCCTTACTGCGCATAATTGGTTGATTTCGCTCACCTGAATTCAATGTTTTGTTCATCTCTCGCTCTATTTATTCCTCTCTTGTGTGTCGTCTATGGGATCAATTAATAATATAAAATATACAAGTGTGTGTGATTATAATTAATAATTGACGTGAGTAGTAGCAAAAATATTTTGGGTGAGCTGTTCGGGGTCTCTGAGGCCCCAGCTAGAACATGATAAAATGCAATAGAGGTGTGACGTGCGTTCAGTGTCTGTCTGGTGTTGAGGTTATTCTAAACTATTCTACTGAATCCCAAATAAGTGTACATACACACAACCAAGTCAATTTAAAATCAAACACAAGAGTCATGCAAAGCGCCGATTTTTTTTTTTCAAAGTAGCTTTTAAAAAAAAAAAAATTATTAGACATTAAAGACATAACATGCAACATTTACAACTTTAACAAGACATCCAAAAAGATAACACAATTAAAGGAATGGGTTTACATTACATAGAAAAAAAAAATCAATAATAATACTTAAAGAAAAAAAAGACAGCATATACCCATTCAATTTTCAAGTAACTTCAACTCTTTAGCGAATAAAATTGTATCTCTACATTTTTTGTTATCAATACATTGGAGAGACTCAAAATACAAATGAAAATCAGTCATAAAGACCTTCAAACAGGGTTTAGAACTATTTCTTTTACTTTTATGAATATGAAATTTACCAAATAAAATCATTAGATTCATCATAAAATTGAGATGCATTTTTTGATTCAAAATATAAGATAACATCTTTGGATGTTAATTCACAATTATAACCAGATTTCTGTTGAATATATATAGATAAATCTTCCCAGAATTTTAGCTGTTCCGACCTTCCGATACTGCATGACGTTCGAAGCTTCAAACGTCATCAATCACGTGGTATTGTCATTTCGATACAAGCATTGGCACAGTGTGTGATACAATAGTGCTTTGAAAACTGCGTCGGAGCATCGGAGCCTCGGTATCAATCGTCCCATCACTACTTCTTCCAGTTGTTTTGTTTTTCTATTTCTCCTTCCTCGTTTCCCAGGCCGGGCATCTGCATCCCTTATGCATGCATAATCTGCATGCAGAAGTTCTCTCGCTCCACTCGGACACCGGCTCCCTTGCTTCTTCCTTCCCTCTCCGCTCTCTAATTCCCCAGGCGGCCAAACGGTCTAGCTGCAGCCTTGCACTTGCACTCTCAGACTTGCATTCTCAGACTTGCATTCTCAGACACTTGCGCTTCCGCTAGCGACGTCACTTGCAGGCTTTATTTTTTATTTTGTTCTATTTTTTATTACGTTTTGTTTGAATCTCTCAACATTTGACAACAGTAGCCAGGTGGTGAAGACAAGAAAGTGTGATTATAATTAATAATTGACGTGAGTAGTAGCAAAAATATTTTGGGTGAGCTGTTCGGGGTCTCTGAGGCCCCAGCTAGAACATGATAAAATGCAATAGAGGTGTGACGTGCGTTCAGTGTCTGTCTGGTGTTGAGGTTATTCTAAACTATTCTACTGAATCCCAAATAAGTGTACATACACACAACCAAGTCAATTTAAAATCAAACACAAGAGTCATGCAAAGCGCCGATTTTTTTTTTTCAAAGTAGCTTTTAAAAAAAAAAAAATTATTAGACATTAAAGACATAACATGCAACATTTACAACTTTAACAAGACATCCAAAAAGATAACACAATTAAAGGAATGGGTTTACATTACATAGAAAAAAAAAAATAAATAAAAATCAGATTCATCATAAAATTGAGATGCATTTTTTGATTCAAAATATAAGATAACATCTTTGGATGTTAATTCACAATTATAACCAGATTCCTGTTGAATCTATATAGATAAATCTTCCCAGAATTTTAGCTGTTCCGACCTTCCGATACTGCATGACGTTCGAAGCTTCAAACGTCATCAATCACGTGGTATTGTCATTTCGCTTCCAGTTGTTTTGTTTTTCTATTTCTCCTTCCTCGTTTCCCAGGCCGGGCATCTGCATCCCTTATGCATGCATAATCTGCATGCAGAAGTTCTCTCGCTCCACTCGGACACCGGCTCCCTTGCTTCTTCCTTCCCTCTCCGCTCTCTAATTCCCCAGGCGGCCAAACGGTCTAGCTGCAGCCTTGCACTTGCACTCTCAGACTTGCATTCTCAGACTTGCATTCTCAGACACTTGCG